TGTCAAGCGCCACATACCATTTACAAATGTCCTATATTTATCGCGTTACCGGTTACAGAAAGAATAAAAAGAGTTGCCGAGATGAAATTATGTAAATTGTGTTTACGACAACACGTRCCGAAAAAATGWAACGGTAAAAATTGTTTTGCTTGTTCAAAACCTCATAACACCATGCTACATTTAAGTAATAGTTCAGAGTCAAGAAAGTCGGAAGCCGAAAAAACGTCCGAAGATCCAGAAGCGACAACAGCGGTTAGTGTACACGTAGCGGCTAACTCGGGCGACCAGGTATTATTGTCAACAGCGGAGGTGCAAGTTCAAAATGAGAGTGGTGAAYCGCAAATCGGACGGGTATTGTTAGACTCAGGTTCGCAGTGCAATTTTATAACCGAAAGTATGGTACAAATATTAAAATTAAAAAAGACGCGCGTACAACATACCGTATTAGGTATTGGAGGCAAAAGTCAAAACGTGAAGGCGGCTGTTGTAGTGAAGATTCGGTCGCGCATTAATAATTATAGTTTAACGTGTTCCTGTTTAGTGGTRCCTMAAATTACAAATATATTACCATCAGAAAATATCGGAGGTGAATGCATAGTACCCTCGAATATAGAACTAGCGGATACTTCATTTAAAGTTCCAAAAAAAATTGATTTATTGTTAGGCGCGTGTCATTTTTTCGAAATATTGTGTATAAAAAAAATTAAACCGACAATAAATGGACCAATATTTCAAGAAACTCAATTGGGCTGGATTGTTTCCGGTCTAGTGRCATCAAAACATACGAATAACAAACCTAATAATATAAAATGTCATACCRCGTTASTAGACGAAAACGAAGGTACTAATTTGGAAATTATGGTATCAAMATTTTGGCGTACAGAAGAGTTTGAACCTGCAGTGCCCTATACTACGGAAGAAAAAAAATGTGTCGATCACTTCGAAAGTACGGTAAATCGAAATGAAAACGGTAGGTTTATCGTACATTTACCGTTAAAAAACGATGCGAATATAAAAATTGGACCGTCATACGAAATCGCGAAACGTCGATTTTTAGCATTAGAACGGCGATTGCAAAATGACGTAAAATTAAAAAAAGATTATATTACGTTTATGAGCGAATATGAAACATTAGGTCATATGGAG